ATAATGTATAATAATTGAAATTATAATAATTGACTATTTTTCAAAATACTAGTCTACTTCAACACAGCCAAGACAAGTTACTCTGTACTGGCCAAAGTTCAGTTTTATGTTATTTGATACGGTAACATGAGTGCACGTGTGTTGCATCATTGTAACTTCTGTGTTGTTAGCCTGGCTGAAAAGTCAATATAATAAAGATAATAAATATTGTTACGTCTCTGGTCGTTTGATAATCTCCCGTAAAAATTCTTCCCGAGGAACTTCAACAATACAAGTCCTTTCTTAAATAAAACTAGTTTATTCTTCCTCAATACAACTTTACAATACACAGAATTTCCATAGTCACTTTAACTTAAACACACGCTATAATTCACAACGATTTACACACTTTTCTTACGGCTTGACTCAGTTATCTCCGTTATCAATTTATCTGCCGGCTTATATACTAAAAAAGAGGGCGTCTAGCAAACGCTGGGACATTCGTGAGGTTCCCTGATCCTTCTAGGATCTCATCACGTATTACCAACATCACATGACTTCCACTGTCGTAACATGTGGAACAAAACATAGGACACACATAGTTTAGTTAAATATAGTTCACTTCCTTTGTATACTGGTGGTAATTGTGGAACAAAACATAGGACATTCATACTTTAGTTAAATATGGTTCACTTCCTTTGTTTACTGGTGGTAATTGTGGAACAAAACATAGGATATACATAGTTTAGTTAAATATGGTTGACTTCATTTGTATACTGGTGGTAATTGTGGAACAAAACATAGGATATACATAGTTTAGTTAAATATGGTTCACTTCATTTGTATACTGGTGGTAATTGTGAAACAAAACATAGGACATTCATAGTTTAGTTAAATATGGTTCACTTCCTTTGTTTACTGGTGGTAATTGTGGAACAAAACATAGGATATACATAGTTTAGTTAAATATGGTTGACTTCCTTTGTATACTGGTGGTAATTGTGGAACAAAACATAGGAGATACATAGTATAGTTAACTATAGTTCATTTCCTTTGTAAACTGGTGGTAATTCCGGAATGAAACATAGGATACACATGGTAGTAGTCAAGTTGACTCTTTGCCTATGGTTGGATGGAATCCACCCCGTAACCACGAAATTAGCCATGAGAGTATTTATGTTATAATTTTTAATAATGTATTTATATCTTCACAGAATTATTAGAAAACTTAAATATCACAGGTTTCACAGGTTTTTTAATTAAGTATTAAGATTTTGTAATTAAAGATTTGTGCATGATTTTTTCTTTTGGAATGTTGACTATCGATCATGTAAAGTAATTGTGATTTTAAGATTAAAAATACTTTTATTTTTTGAAAAATTTTAAGTTTCATGTAAGTAATCTCTGTAATCTCCTAGATAACCATCAAATGTTTTTTGAGAGAAACTTAATATTTTATCGCCATAACTCTGTATGGTGTTTGTTGATTTGTCCAACCTTGTAACCATCATAAAAATTAGGAAATAGATCTAAATTACCTTTTTTTTGTTCTAGAATAACTTCAAATTGTAACAGGAAACCACAACTTTGTATTCTAAATAGCTTAAATTTTATAACAGTATACATTTATATTTATTCATTTCTTGAATTGTCTAAAAGTACCCCACCCAACACAAGTTTAAAATCACATGCAGCTTAGGTTACCCTATTGAATTGTGTAATGCAAGTATACCACATGAATAATTTTATTCCTATTGTTTACATTTTAGTTACTTTTATAATAAGAAACATAGAAAACAAATGAAAAATAAAAAAAATCTTGTAATTATATATCAAACTTTTTGTTTTCATTAAAGCTTTATATTTTACCTGTTATTTTCTCTACTGTAACATTATACTTGATTCTCTAGGTTGTCGACAAGTAATCAAAGTATAACAAAAATAAAGGTTACAAATACCAAATAAAACGAATAGTACTGTTAGTATTGATCACAAGGTTTTATAATACAGAGTTTATACTTCTCACCTTTTACACACCTATTTAGTTATTTTATTTATAGCAGCTGGTTTAGAAACTTGATAAAATAAAAGGTATAGTACTTTCTGTCCTTTTCAGTATGGATCACAAAGTTCTAAAGTAAATTTCCTGAGAGTTTCTTCTAATCTTTTCACACCTACTTACTATGTTTATTTTACTGTTAATGGCTAAAGTAGAAACTTACCAAATATAGAGCAATGAATTGCCACTCCTGTTTACATGGTACCATACTTTGTTAATATCAAATAAGCTTGTGTGGCACAGAACTTTACCTGCTTCAAAAACACAGTGAGGTAGGATTTATTGTCTTGTTAACAGGTATGATGGTTGCAAAGAGAATTGTCTTAAGTATTATATGAAAGTATGACAAAATGGTTATGTTGTGGCTTTGTGGAAAGTCTGGACTGATTCAATAAACTTTTTAGCTATTTGGATATTAGTTATACTTCCAGGTGGTATAGGTGTAAGTGTAAATGCTGATGAACATTGTATTTCCTATTTTACTATCCTTATATAGTAACCAATACAATGCTCAGTTTCCAGTAATATAAATACGACCTGTTGTGGTTGATCTAGTATTTTTGGCTTAGCCTTCTTGCTGATCACTTTGGAAACAAATTATTCTCCAGCAAACTGTAAGTTCAGCAGGTGTTTACGAAATACTACCTGCAAGTAAGTAAGTAATTATTTATAATATATATATGGAATCTCTAATCAATAGCTTTAGAATATTGTTGTTGCCCAAAATCCAGTGTGGACATTTCTGTAGTTTAGCACAAGATCTAGTGTTTTCGAAACCTATGATACATGTCATAGAATATATTGTAACATACATGTATTTTATTTTTAGAAAACTGCTGTTCTTAAGAAGTTTATCTTTGTTTGCTAAATCATACAATGGTGTTCAACAACTATTACCTATAAGTAAGTAAACATTATAATATACATGTGTAACATACGTGTAATGATAAGGTACAAATTACAGAATGCATGTAATATAGACATGTAATGATGTACAATGTGTAACATGCATGTAATATAGACATGTAATGATGTACAATGTGTAACATGCATGTAATATAGACATGTAATGATGTACAATGTGTAACATGCATGTAATATAGACATGTAATGATGTACAATGTGTAACATGCATGTAATATAGACATGTAATGATGTACAATGTGTAACATGACATGTAATATAGATATCTAATGATATACAATGTGTAACATACATGTAATGATATACAATGTGCAACATACATGTAATATAGACATGTAATGATATACAATGTGCAACATACATGTAATATAGACATGTAACGATATACAATGTGTTAAATACATGTAATGATAAGGTACAAATCATAGAATACATGTAATATAGATATGTAATGATATACAATGTGCAACATACATGTAATGATACACAATAGAAAATATGTGTAACAAAGCCTTATATTTGTTCCTACTAGAAATGAAAGCTGAACAATTGATCAGAGAAAGAGTAAAGAAGTTGAGGAAAAGAAGATACTAACACAGGATGAGTTCCTTCTAAATGTTTCACTATCCTCTGATGAAGAAGGCCTGTCAGAAGCATCTGAAGTTGAAGAATTTGATTCTTCTGTTGCAATGACAGAATTTGTTCCAAGAGATCTTGACCAGCTGTTCTTGTTCTGTCCTGTGGACAGATCAGGATGTAGCAGGTGAAAGGTGAAGATGGTCCAAAGTCAAGACCAAGAACCACCACCAGGACATGAAGAATAGCTAGAGGAGGCCTCTCTTCTGTAATGATACGTGGATGGGAATCTGT